TCAGAAGTTATCCTGTGCCCTGTGATGTGCTTCTCCAGTTTAAGCCTTGGTACATGCTTTAAGTGTGCTACTAATGCATCATGGTGTGTCAAAGGTACTTACCTGCTGTTGTCGGAAAAAATGGAATGATTGATACTGACCCTGGTGATCCAGAATATTTTTCTCTTTTGCATGCAAGCCAGTGTGTAAAGAATAGTTAAATAATGAATTTACCTGTCAACATTCTTTCTGATCTTCATCTTGTGGGCCAAATAAATGGGAAATGCTTGTTTCTTTGTGGCTCACAGAGGAGCCTTCGGTAAAGGCGTTGAACTTATTTCCTACTCAGTTTTATGGATTTCAGGCCAAAGAAGATGAATGGCATTTATAAAATTTGTAACTTAGTTTTTCATCAGTAGCCGACCCTCACTGCTGTCTAAAGGTCTGCTGTCTAGCCCATGCTCTGACTTGGTTTAAGACGAAGAGTAATGAAATAATGCTTTTTGGGAGCCTCTGTTGCTATTTAATAAGAGTATTGTTTTTATTAAAAGTGTGGCCTACTTGGGGGGCAAAGGAGAGAAAAGGGTTTTGCGTGTCTTAAGCTCACAATGATAGGGAAAGTAATGGAGTTCTGTTTCTGAAATGACCTTCATGCAATATGTCAAGGGCACAGTGGAGAGCAAGAACAGCATTAAGTAATCCCCAAATTGTAAAATGAATACCCTAGCCATCTTTATCAGCTGGATTCCACCCAGAGTTCCTATTCTTCTGGATAATAGGAATAATAGAGCCCTGTTCTACAATGCCCAGGGGTAGGGGTTTAGTCAGGCTCTACACCATAGATGTAGAGTATGTTGTATCTTTCAGCATGTGTGCTGCCTCTAGCTCACCCTCTGGGAACTCACAGGTAGGTTGAGTGGGTGTTTGCTCCATTTCACAAGGGAGAAGTGCAGTAGAGAGAAAAGTTATGTGATTGACTCCCATGTGGTTCCCAGGCTGTTAGGCCTGATGAATGACAAAGTAACGGAGTGATGAACCTCCATATCCTCTTACGTGAGTAGGTCCTCCATAGTCACCTACTGATGTCCCAGCATGATGTTTGACTCTGGATCTATGGGTCACTGTTAGAGCATGCCAGAGTGAAAAGGAAGATGGGAACAGGGCCTGCAGGCTGAATGTTGAATACAGTCTGGAAAACTGTTTTTCACAGCAACCTTTGAGAGGAAGAATTTCTATTCACACTTTGCAATTGGAAAACCCAACTCCAGGACATACAGATGGGAATTAGAGAACCAAGATTCAAACTCAGCTCTGAGTGGAAAACCACCTTTCCTTCAGGATACTGTCTACACAAGTTACAGGAGTCATTTGTATCTTCCACTTATTTGTGGTTCTAAGAGAGTTCTCTTTATATTCAAATTAGGATGAGTAGTTAGTGTGAGAGGAAAGGCATAGTAAGTTTGTGACATACTTTATTTTTATTACATTTATTATATGTGTATATATATACACACACACACACACACACATACACGGCAGTGGAGGTCAAAGGACAGCTTAATGCAGTCTGTTCTCTCCTTCCACCATGTAGGTTGCAGGGATTGAACTCAGGTTTTCAGGCTTGGCAGCAAACACCTTTACTTGCTAAGCCATCTCGCAGGCCCATGGAATACTTCTAGACTGAGCCAATGTACACTCAAGAATTCATGCTTCCTTTCAGCAAGTTCTTACTGAGTATCTACTATATGCAAAACAAAGCTGAGTGCTCATCTTAGATGAATGAAAAAGCCATTTACCAAGCTCATTTCAGATTAGTTCAGGGTGTAGAAGTTTATCACTGGATAATCATGGAGTCTGAAATGCTTTGTTAGTGCTAAGTTATAAAAATAGAATCAGATGTACATAGCTTATTGCCTTTCTAAAAACCCCATCCCTAAATTAAGACTTTATTGACTTTAATTTTTTATTTATCTATTTTTATTTTATGCATATGATTTTTTTGCCTGCATGTTTGTAAGTGCAACATACATGTGCATACAATGCCTGAGGAGGCCAGAAAAGGACACTGGATCCCCTGGAACTGGAGTTACAGATGGTTGTTAGCCACCAAGTGGATTCTGGGAACTGAACCCAGGTCCCCAGTAAGAGCAGCAGTGCTCTTAACTGCTGAGCCATCTCTCCAGCCCCATAATGATTCTTTTGGTAGCATGTTCATACCAACTGTGCCACAGTTGCCAATTCTATACCCTGTAGCCTACCAGCTCTCCTCCTTTGCACTGAAGGAATCTCCTGGGCATCTCCTGGTTAGTGAGTGAGTGCATCACATAACTTGCCTTTTTACTTTGTGGTCTCCCATAGGATAACTGAAAGAGCCACTTGAAGTCCTAGCTCTGATTATCTTCCCCTTACCAGCAAAGGCAGTTCTACTTGCTGTGTGTCCTTTTAAAACTAACAAATTAGTCTGAGAGAAAATTCCTTAGATCCATGAGTACACAGTAAAGGGACAAAAGAAAGAGAAGGCTCAGTGGTTAAGAGCTTGGATTGCTCTTACAGAAGACCCGAGTTTGGTTCCTAGCACTATCAGGCAGCTCACAACTACCTGTAACTCCAGTTCCAGGGAATCCACTGCTTCTGGCCTCTGTGAGCACCGCATTTATGTACACATACTCACCACCACATACATACACATATCAAATAAAATAATTTTTTTTTTAAAAAAAAGGTGATCTTCAGAGACTTCTTTTCCAATTTCCACAAATCCAGTAAGCATTCCATGCTTCTTGAAGGCCTCCTCTGTCTATTGTTGAGGGAAAGACAAACAAAAATTCTTGCTCCACGAAACAAATTTTAGTATGAATCTGTTTATTGGCAGAGATGACTTTTGAGGTGTTAATTATTTTTGTGAAGAAAAAATTCAAATTCAAATATCTTTTGTGCAACAATGTAGCAGAGCCTCACAAACAAAATGTGTTAAAAGAAATCAAACCCAGGCAGGGCATGGTGGCACAGGCCTTTAAATTCCAGTACTTGGGAGGCAGAGGCAGGAAGATTTCTTTGAGTTTGAGGCCAGCCTGATTCACATAGCAAGTTCTAGGCCAACAAAACCAACCAAGAGTCTACACTAAGAGTCTGTCAGATAGGACAGGACATACTAATCCCTGGGTATGTCTAGATTATGAAAACCCAGTGAGGTACAAATGTACTTTCCATAGTATGTTTTACTTCAGTACAACGCTAATGAAATATCCAAATAGAGACCTAAAAATCACACAACTCTTAGTCTGTTATTTCCCCATTAATCATCCATTAGGAATAACTTCTTTGCTTTCTTTCAAAGGCAATTTAGAAAGCACTTTATTTGGTTATGTGTATTCTAATAGACCTTTTTACTAGATAAGTAATGGGTATCCAGTCTTCAGAATTAATACTGCTCAGGCATCCTCTCTTGATACGGAAGAGTCCACTCATCACTTGTTTCACAGTAGTGGCTTTCAGAACATAGAGAATGCTAGGTTAAACTGGCCGCTTCTGAAGCTACTCCCTGGGGACAGAATGTGATACTTTCAGGGCCAGACACAAATCCATTTCAACAGAAATCTGGTTGATTTGCTTGCTTGTTTGTATTTTACATGCATGTGATTGCCTTTTCTGTAAATGAAATTATTATCAATAAATGTAGAATGTTCTAGAATGATAAATGTTAAGAAAGCAAATTGTCTGTGTGCATGCACCCATGCATTCTGGGGTGATTTCTCTAAAATTATAGGAAGAGACCCTTAAAAATTACTTGTTAGGACAATGATCATTAGACCAGGTAATATTCTGCTGACAATTCCAAGGTGTAACTTATGGAAAACTGGAATCAGGATATGTTTTTCTTACTGTGGTAGTTTCTTTCTTTCTTTCTTTCTTTCTTTCTTTCTTTCTTTCTTTCTTTCTTTCTTTTCTTTCTTTCTTTCTTTCTTTCTTCACTTATTTATTTTTGATCTTTTAGAGACAGGGTCTCCCTACAGCCCCAGCTGACCTGGAACTCACTATGTAGACCAGGCTGGCCTTGAACTCACAGAGATCCGCCTGTCTCTGCCTCCTGAGTGCTGGGTTAAAGGTGCATGCCACCGTGCCCGGCCATACTGTGGTAATTCTTTGTCCACTTTCAGAATGCAGAAGTGAGCAGTGGTTTGGGGTATAGATAAGGACTGTGCTTTAAAACTTTTTTCCTTGCTGAAAAGATAGTTCATCTGTGGGAACTGCTTGTTTAAAAATGTACTTTAATGTGGGCGTATACTCTTCCCATTTTAAAATCTAACTTAATCTTTCTCTTTGTATAGATACATTTAGACCTAAAATAACTATTACAGAGGGATACAGCTTTATAAACCTAAAGTATCAGAAGACTATAAAAGATCAGAAAAAATTTTGGATTTTTTTAAGTTGTGGAATATCCTCCAAGTCTGGTTTTGATTAAGACTAGCAGTTTTCTAGGAATTGTGGTTTTTGTCAGATGCAGACAGAAGGCATTGATTGGAGTTCTGTGGAAGTTCTGGTTTGCTTTCAGAAAACTGTAGAAATACTCTTTGATGTCATTCGTGCAAATACATTAACACATCAGGACAGCTCAGTAAGGGTGTGCTTGTATACTGCATGTCCATTACAGCCCATTACTGCCGACGATTTAATCGTGAACAGCCATAATATGTTTGTGTTTTAAACTGCCTTTTCTAAACACTGTGGATTACACTTTACCCCCTTTGTGTTTATATCAAAAGGAGTCTTTCCTTGTGGGTAGCATGGGATTATTTGATTTCTCTCTGGGTTTTAACACAAATTTTATAACTTATAGAAATATTGAGGTTTTGATTTTTCAGCAGCTAATGAATAGTGCTAATTGTATAACGACAGTTCTCTTCCAGCCACCAACAAAAAGGTTTGGTACATGTGCATTTCCCTAGCAGTTTTCCAGGTTGATCACAGCATCGACTCTCTGTCTTGGCAGTTGTCTAACTGTGTATTTGATCTCGTAGATACGGTCCAAGAACTCCTGTGTCAGATGACGCAGAGTAAGTGGCCTTGTACTACTAGAATGATGCTAATTATGAGCCTAAACTGCATGCTTCCAGTACTTACCACTAATTGAAATGCAAAGGATGCCACAGGAGCTGAAGAGTGAACACACTCTGCTGTGGAATGCAGAACATGTGTTCTGGGCAGGGAAGATGAAGAGAAAGCAACTTAAGCATGATGCTAACTCGCAGCTGCTGCTTAAAACTTCACATTCGCTTTTCCGTAGACGAGCATGTCCAAGTCGCTCTTGTTAGTTTGGGCATCAGCACCCCTTCTGCACCACGGAATTATGAAAAGGGTATTGTGAGTTTGCATTTAACTCTCGAGATACTGAGGCTGGGAGTGAACAATGAAGTAGAGTTATTCATTTTGTTTTCAAACTAAGAAAAAAATTCTAAACCACTAATTATAGGTTCAGAGGCCCTGCTTCCTACCAGGTTGGAGTCATATAAACTGTGGGATATTTAAGACCAAAACATTGGGATTTTGTTCAAGTTCCGTGGCATAGCAAGGGGTCAAGGGTGTAGAAGACTCGGGCTTCCTCTGCCTGCTGCTTGCCTTTCATTCTGCACAAAGGTTTCTTCCTCACCTTGCACCTCACCTCCCAATTTGAGAATACAACACACAGACACACACACACACACACACACACACACACACGCACGCACGCACGCACACACACACACATCATGGCCACATGAACTCTGTTCAAAAATTGGTTTTCCTACAGCAGACCATTCTACACCTGATATACAATGCAAAAAGTTTATTTTTTTTTTTCGAGAATAAGAGCCTTCTTCGATTTGAGTAATTTCAGTTTTAAGAAACACAATTAATATTTAATTCCATTAGCTGTGTGAAGCCCAATGCCTCTCCTCTCCCCAAAAGCATTGTGTGTGACCTGATGGAAGGCTAGACTACCATGGAAGAGTAAATGTTGCTGTCCTCCTGTCTGCAACCCAGTCATAGTTCTAAGTCATGCAGTGAGGTGTTTAAATAAGGAAGTAGAAACCAACCATAGACATCTTTTCACTGATAACAATGACAATGTCAATTAACGAAAGAGAGGAGCGAGAAGGTTTTTATTTTTGGAAAAAAATGTTTTCATATCATGTTTTTCCCATGTTATATTGAAGATGTCAGCTAAGTTTGAACTCAGCCCTAAGCAGTCATAGTCTATCACTGTCTGTGACTAGTTATCTGACTTACAGAATTTTCATGTCTCAAAACCAAACTCAGCCCTCACTTGACTGACTGCGGAGTTAAGTAATCTGTAAAATTGAGTGCTGGTTATTACTTGTAAAACCTGCATGGCAGTATTTAACACTCCTGAAAGGGGGGGGAGGATTGATAGACAAAGCACTATTTTGATTTGGTGAGCAAAAACATTGTGATAGAATGGATTTATTCTTCACTGATGCAAAGCTGCCTGCCTTTCAATTTGCCTGAAATAGATCTGGGGGAACCCTAAAAGGTAGGAAAAAAGGAAGCTTTTGGATTTTGCCTGAGCCTCACTCTGAAACTTCACCCCCCAGAAAAAGCCAGTGATTGCTTTAAAGGGATGGGGACCCAGGCTACCTTCTCTCCTCCAAGTTTATAAAATCCAAGCCTATAGACCAAGAAGAGTTAAAGGAACTTCTTTTCCAGAGGCTTTATCTGAGAATATACAGAGTGTCAAATGTTTTGCTTGGAGCAAACACACTGTATGTGAAGCCAGGGAGACCAAAATCAAAGACTGATACTGGGAGTTCAGTTTTTAGTAGAAATATGTATTGTTTTTAGTTTATTCCTTTATTCTTGTCCTTTTCCAAAATCTTTAAAGGAAATTACTGGCATAAACTATACTTACCAATAATTGACACATTCTTAAAATACAACTCAACCAAAAAATAATGTACCTTGATGGAATATAAGTCAAGGTAGGCCTCCTGTACAGATGAAGAAATTGCCACGTCCTGGCCAGTGGAGAATCCCTCTGGATTTAATTTCATGTTATTCCTGTCTTTGACTTGACACTCCTCTCCCAACATTCCCCCCACCAGAGGAGCCTGCACCTTCATAAAGCTGTGGATGTTTTTATTCCGAGTTTCTTTATCTTAAACTTGGCTCAGAAACCATTTCCAGACTCCTCTTGAGGAAAGTTAATCCCATCTCTCAAAAATGTTAGCCCATTCCCAGCTGAGTCCTGGGCTCTGCAGCCAGTGACCCTTGTCCCAACAGCACAGGGGCCTAAGCATGGTGCTTGAGGACAGGGTTAGTGCAAGTCACATTAGTCTTCTGGAAGCTGGGCTTCTCACCCCAGCTCTGCCATATCCCATCCCCAGATCCACACTTCTTCATTCCAGAGGCCAAGTTCCACCTTTGAACTAGACAACATTTTCTATTGGTGACTCAGTACATTTTCTAGCTAGTATTGTCAGTTCTCAGCTTTTTCAGTTCCTTTTTTTAAAAAATGACAAAGATATCACACTTTTCCTTTTTCTCTTTTTGGCCAGTTTGCTGATATTTCTTTTTTTAAAAAAAGGCAAAAACCCTGGGGCGAGGGGTGAGGGGGATAGTACTTGCTGGTATAGGAGAACGTAAACAAGAGTTTCTTTTTCTACTTAATTATCGGGCCTTTGGCCACATTCTGAGTAAGTCAGAGCTTCAAGGTGAGAGCAGAGATGTCAACCCAAACCAGAGGAAGGCAACTGTGGAGGCCTCTCTTGTTTCCACTACCCTTACCTAGTGAGATAGACGAATCCCACTCCCTGGAGAAGCCTGCTGTTTTCTTCCCACAGCTCACGAAGAAGCCCACATTCTATAGCCTAAGCCAAAATTCTGCCCATAGGTATTACATATGGCTTAATTAGGGGCCTCCTTTCACTCTACAACCTTCCAACTCCTTGGTGATTGTTAACAGAGTTTGATCGGAGAGGTTTTATATGATAAAAGATCTAGCAGCAATTGTAATCTGCCTTAATGATCACTGGCTGGCTTGGATATTTTAAAAGATTTTCCTTTTAACTGTGAAAGGAGAAATGGTATGGACTTCCATCTTTCTGAAGACTTACTTAAATGAATTTTGATCTTAAAGTTCAAAACACATGGTTAGACTTTTCTACCTAGCCTTGTAAACTCCTAAATCTTTCATAACAATAAATACTATGAAATAGATGAAAAAAAAAAATCACAGCCCTTTTCTCCTATGAGAAGTTAGGTTTATTTTTCTAGAAGGCGCAGCTGCCCAACTACGAGTAGGGTAGGCGACAGCGGCTTCCCACCTTCCCACCGGACTAGGTCACCCTAAGGTAACAGATGCCTCTGATTGGGAAAAAAAAAAAAAAAAAATCCATCTCTGCAGTTGAATTCTTAGAATACTCTGGAAGAAGACAGTCTCAGGTTAGAGTTTAAATAGCCAACACCTGGATGGAGAAACAGGAACCCAGCCATCCATTCGGATTCTGAGTATGGCTATCTCTTTAGAATTCATCCTTTCCTTCCAAAGAGCTGCCTGCTAGGGAGCCACTGCATCCAACAGTGCTGCATCAGTGGAGTGATGATTTTGCACATCATTGACGATGTCTGGAATCAGTTGGTGTCTAAGCACATGGCTTTGTCCTGTGTCCCCCGCCCATGCTAAACTAGTTTCAGAAATGGATCATTACTATCTTCTATACCTAGGAAACCTAAGGGCCTTCCACTACCTAACTTTTGGACTCTACCTATCTGGTCTCAAGAGCTACCCACTTCTTTGAGGGCAGCGGGGGTTGGGAAGAGGATTTTGCTTTGGTTTTTGTGTTCTTGCTGCTTTAGCGCATGTCTAACAGGTCTGTGTAAGCATAACAGATAAGGCCTTGCGGTCTAATAAAATGTTTTAATTGTATGTACAACCAAAAGGCTTTTTTTAATTGTTTGCCCTTTTTAACTTAAAAAGTAAATGCAAAGTTTTCCTGACAAACAGAAATTAAAATAATTGTGAACACATTAGGTTGCAAAGTATACCTTGGTTTATATTCATTCCTTCCTCATAAAATATTTTCTTAATTCCAAGATGTGCTATCCATTACTTAGTTTTACAGGAAATAAAAAGAAATAACCACAACAGACATGCCCATCATCCATTTAAATATGAAAAAGTAGCTGTCTTAATCTTGAGGCCTTATGACAGTTTTTTGGAAAGAGAAGAAATTGTCTCTGCACGGTGTAGGAAGCTTGCAAGCCAGCTCTTTCCACAAAGACGCCTTAGTGTGCTGAAGTTCCAGTTCAGAGAGCAGGGCCCTCCCTCCCTACAGTCTCCCCACTTTATATACCTTTGAATGCTCATTTTCTCTTAAAGCAAGCACATTTCTGAATGAGAGGGAGGCGTGCAGAGCTTCGGATACTTTTTCCTAGCGCTTTCTTAGCCCCTTCATAGAAAGCACCCGGGTTCAGGGCATCCCTGGTCAAAGCCCCCTTGGCCCTGCAGCAGAGGGAAGAGGCGGCTTGCAGCCCGGTGGCGCCCCCGGGCGGCGGCGTGCGGAAGTACAAGGAGCCCGCCCGCGCTCATCTGCTGGCTTTTTGTTTTGCTCTCTCGGCGTCAGGAGCACGAGTATGTTTGACATGCGGTGTGAGGAGGAGGCCGCGGTGCTGCCGCACAGCAGGGCCCGCCAGGAGCAGCTGCAGCTGATAAATAGCCAGCTGAGGGAAGAAGACGACAGATGGCAAGATGTGAGTTCCGGTCAAGGCCGACCGCGAATGTTCGGCGGGGTGGGACTCACGCCGACCACCAGGCTGGGCGGATTGGACTTGGCCTTCAAAGCCCTGCTGGGGACCCAAGCCCCCCACATTTCAGACAGCCACCGCGGGGGCGGCGGGGGGGTAGATTAAAGGAGAAGTCAGTGGAGAGCAGAGAGCAAGACACTGATGTGTGATCAGTAGGTACCCTGGTTCAGAGCTTGGTTACAAAGGAGAGGGGGTGGGAAGCAGGTAACTAGAACAGGGTGCAGAGCAGCGGGGTGCTGGCTTTGGAGATTCTGTATTTGAGATTAATGGATGGTGATGATGATTACAGCTGCCATTAAATCTACCTGTACCAGGCACTGTTTTCTAAATGCCTGTCTGTGGTAATTCATTCAGTTCTCTTAGTGGCTGTGTACTAGCAGCCCTTATCTTCCAGCACCTACAGGGACACCAGCCCAGCTAAGTCCCTTGCCCAAAGTCCCATGCTAGTGGGTGGGAGAGGCAAGATTCCAACCAGTAAGGAAGGTGAAGGAGGCTGAGAAAGGCCCGGAGGTTGTGTGCTGAGAGCAAAGAGCTAAGGCAGGAAGAGCTTGAACTTGGCTGTGAGAGGCTGGAGCTTAATTCTCACAGACCTCTCTGAGGTAGGTTTTACAAAACTGACTCCACATTAGTTAAAAAGTTAACATCTCCAAAGTTGATAGAGAATAAAACACTGTGTCTGTGTGCCCACCACCTCAGCATGTCTGAACATCTAACCCTACAGGCTGGTAAACACCCCCATTTTAGAGTTGTTGAAATGAGTTCACAGAGGCTAACATGGATAAGGTTCAAAAGCCTGAACAAGATAGAAGCAGGCCATTGCCCACAGCTGTAGTCCATCCTCCGACTCAGGAGCCGAAGTTTCATCTCTGTGTTATAACTACCCTTGGAACAGGTGGCAAAGGTATCCTGAGAATCAGAAGAATTAGTACGCATGAATCATCAGATCTGTAAGACTCCAAAGCCATTTTTATTCTGCCTTTTCTTCCATCCAGGGAAAAGCTGTAAATGAATCCCTACCAGCTCATTGCCAGTAATATACTTAAAATTCAGAGGTTACAAGTAGAGAAAAATGAAATTCCCTAGGATTACCCTATAGGACTGTTCTCTAAAATTTATGAACTATCACAAAGTATGACTACATATTTCGCACTGCTATATTTGAAGAAATCACTGCCCTGCTAATGACAGTATACGTAATAGCTGAATCTTTCCTGTCTTCAAGGTACCTTCTTCCAACCAAACTTTCATTGGGTTGTGTGAGAATGCCCTAGTGTGGTGCCTGGATCTGGCCTTAGTGCCCACTAGTCTGTGCCTCACAGAAAGGGAGTTATGTAGGGGTAAGAAAGAACATGGCCTCTCTTCTCCCCCCCCCCCCCCGCCCCCGCCGCCTTGGGGAGAGGCACGGAAGAGAGGCTTCTCAG